ATGCTGCCCCCCCCCAAGATCTCGGCCATCTAGTAATGAAACATTTTGAAACTTGGTACATGTACATGTATGCATAGAGCAACTCATCATGAACAACCATGTACATGTACCCAAGAAATTTCATGACTAAAGGTCAAAGGGTTTTGGAATTATGGCTAATTAATTATTCATATGTACAATGTACAAATGTACATGTACCGGTATGTACCGGTATTTGAGGACTTTCAGTTGCAAATTTCCATGCCCAAGTGCTACAAATACATGTATGTATGTAATAATTGTGGTCCCTCGTATACCAGTGCTAAATGTTAAGACAAGGTTTTTAATGTTTTTCATAATGTGTGATCTATGCAAACCTACCGGTACGCGTACATGTTGTATATGTGTACATGTACATGTACATGAATGCTCCCATGCATTGTGCATCTCATGAGTATGCAGAGCTATATTTAATGTAAAGAATTACATAACAGAGTGATGGGTTGTGGGCACCTTGTTTTCCCGTTTATGAATGAACAGCACATGCACACTGATCCCTGTAAGAGGGTAGGCCTCCGCATTATGGGGAAGTTCTTTTATGTTCATGATGTTATAGGCAAATTACATGTACATGTTTTGTAGGACTGAGTTATGGGGACTTTCTGCTGTCCCCACAGCTTTTTCGGTTCCCACACCTTACCGTATTTTCCCGTTTATGAATGAACAGCACCTGCACACTGATCGCTGTAAGAGGGTAGGCCTCTGCATTATGGGGAAGTTCTTTTATGTTATAGGCAAATTACATGTACATGTAGGACTGAGTTATGGGGACTTTCTGCTGTCCCCACAGCTTTTTCGGTTCCCACACCTTATTTTCCCGTTTATGAATGAACAGCACCTGCACACTGATCCCTGTAAGAGGGTAGGCCTCTGTGTTATGGGGAAGTTCTTTTATGTTATAGGCAAATTACATGTAGGACCGAGTTATGGGGACTTAATTCTGCTGTCCCCTATGCTTTTTTGGTCCCCACAGCTTTTTCGGTCTCCACAGCTTTTTCAGTCCCCACAAAAACCTACCTCGTAGCGACGAGTGTTTGTCCCCACAACTACGGAACAAGAAGGGGTGTCGACTCCACGTACTGATATACTGGTACATTGTACAGTGTACTGGTACGTGTGTGAATGATGACCATTGTGAACAGTGATGCTCCAGATCAACTGGCCAAAAGACATACATATGTACATGTAACATGCACAATTTGCCAGTTCAAAAATATCCATTTTGGCCTACATGTAGATGCCATGCCATGCCAGGTCTTTTAAAACCATAACACCCCCCCCTCCAAATTTCACAACCTCAGCCCTGCCAAAAATAGACACCCAGGGTTTATTTCTGTCCCGGACTGTAAACTGTCCGGGCCGTTTGTTCAGTCACCCACTTTCCTGTTTGGTGTTCAACATCTCAATGGGCCGTGAATGCAGGGGCCTGATGAAACCGAGCCCCCCGGTAACCTGAGACTTCTCTCGCCAACCACACTGCCGGGGTTCGGATTACGGGGATCAACCCAAAAGGATGGTCTGATACTGTTTGTGAAAAAAGCCGTGAATTGACTCCCTATTCCTGCGCAAAACAACAATCTGCCTGTGTGTAGGAGAATCGTGACCATTGTGAAGTCTGACAAGCCTCTATTTTACACATGTGGCTCATGTTTGCTGCGAGCTCATGGTGCGAAATTTAAGAAAAATACACGGAACAAAAAGTACAGATGACTTTATACTGTACATTGTCCTATCCATTTCTTTGTACTGTACACTACATGTATATATTTGTCCAACCGCATGCCTGTGCCCTGTCCCTGCAAAATGGTGTTCGTTTATAGAGGACTTTGCATTCCCCATGCTATTATCGAGTTTCATCTTGAAAAATAGATTCCTTTTCTAAATTGCTATTTTTCTAGCAATACAAAAGTTATTCCCTTTTGTTATAATTATGACATCAACCGGAAAAAAACCCACAGGCCCATGTTTCATTATTGAATTATTCCTTTACAATTTGGACAGTATTAAAGTTCATTGTTGCGGGGTAGGCTGGTTCCCACCCCAGTATCGAATCAGTATAGGCAGTCCGCTCGCTAAGTGGATCTGTTTGTGCCCAAAACAAAAAAATTTCCACAGGATTGCAGACATCCAAAAAAAGGGAAAAAATGAGTTTGTTTTTGTCAGAAAAAGCATACAAGTTGAACATTTACAAAAACATGTATAAATACTGTTTAATAGAAAAAAAACTTGTTACTGAGGGGTTAACAGAGAATTGTGTGCCCATGCAGACCCACCTGCATGTACATGTACATGTAGTTGTACATGTACATGTACATGTATTCATATTGTGTGGATGGTGTGTAGGCCTACATGTACCGGCATGGTGAATACCTATTTAGAATGGTCCAGTGGTTACTGTGTTTGACTTGTACAATGGTATGTGGGTTCGAACCCCCGCCGTGAGCATGGTGTTTGTGCCCTTGGGCAAGACACTTCACTACTATTACCTCTCTCCACTCAGGAGTACACATATGATGAATGGGTACCTGTGAGGGTACCCGAATGTGAATGTGTGCCGATATCGCTGCCGCGTTGTCTCGTGGCCTGATCGATGAACGGGGGAAAATTGCAAAGCGCTTTGAGTTTGAGATACGATACGACATGATGGAAAGCGATGCCTCACAATTTATTATTTACATGGTGTACATGATGTTGGCACCTCTAAAGATCAACAGTGAGCATGGTTTATATTAACTTTATATATTTTTTCTACTATTTTTTACCTCTTTTTCAATTACCAAAGTACATGGTGTATGTTTGTTCATTTATGTACATGTACATGTACCGGTACATGTATGTACGGTACATGTACATGTATGTCTATACATGTACACTATACAAACATGTGTGGGCGGACAGGCCGTCACCGCCTTATGGGAAAGTTTTTATTGTAAGGCAAATTAGGACTGAGTTATGGGGACTTTCTGCTGTCCCCACATCGTCTTCGGTCCCCATACTACATGTACCATGGGGCAACTCGTGTGTAGTCCCCACAGTCACAGAACAAGTATGTGTGTACATGTACCGGTGCCTGATTATGTTTAATTTGCATTCTGCGAGAGACTTGTATTTTGATTACTAATAATGGACTTGTGATGTGAATTAGCTTCACCTCTCTAGCAAAATTACCATATCAGTACATGTACCCGTAGATAAGGACAAAAAAAAGTCTCCGGTTTCTGGTATGCGCGCGCGTCGCCGTAGCCATGCGCGTCGGCAAAATGAAAAAGTTTTTTTTTCAATGAAAGATGATGTCTCAAAACCGCCAAACTCACTGAATTGACTGGAATCCTGCTGCTGCACAATTTTAACTTGTTTTTAGATGGGGTTATGATCGAGAATAAGCTTTATGTGGCCTCTCTGGTCTCCCATAATATTTGCACTAAGTTTAGTAGGGCACCATTTGCAGTCATCAGCCGACATTTGAAGCAAAAAAAACCAGGTTAAAAAAAAAAAAAGCCGCATCGCCGCACCACTTTTTGGGCAAGCTCCATACCAGAAACCAGAGACTTTTTTGGGGGGCCTAAGATCCCTCAACCTCCACTCGCTCCAGAAAATTGTCAGGCACATCTTCTTCAAATGGGCATGGGAATACTCCGGAATCCACTTGTGTATTAAATAACTTGTTGTGTAAAAATAACTTGTACAGGTATCTGAACAGATCATCTGAAGAACCCACTATATCGTTTAAACCGCGTACAATGCACATCTTCATGGACAAATCTTATATCTTGAGGCGTCTTGCAGAGCTAGCTGTGCTATCATTTGTATTTTCGGCTTGTTTCCATGGCAATTTGCGATGGTGCAGATGTGAAGTATTAGTTATCATAAATTTGTATCTCACTCAACATGAGTATCTGATTGGAAAACCATGTGCAGTATACAATGTACGTACAATGTATGAGGGGAGTACATCACTTTACATTTTATGTAGAAATGATTTTGATTTTAATTTTTATTTTATTCTTACGATGATCAAACCAGGGAAGTCTCCAGATTTAGTACACAAGTTGTACTTACTTGTAAGGTACATGTACAATTTTTATGGAAATTATTTCAAAGTCAGTATGGGATTTTGTTCTTACAGGTACATGTACAGTAGCTGTAATTTCTCGTATATGTAATATGGTCTGCTGAAAATGTGTCAAGATTCAGTACACTGGAGATCGCATCTTTCATTTCCAAAATTACTGAACTCAAAACTTTAACCCTAACCCCTTGGGTATTTTTACTAGAAAGTATCCTGAAACCGCCCAAAATCTATCAATTTTGCCATGCAAAAAAATGTTGGTGGCCAGTGAGTCCATCAGAATCCTAAAGTTAGCCGGGAGTAAATCTGTTGAGATCCTGAATCCATCAAAGTCCCCCAACTTCTCAATATGGAGGTATCCTGATTCCATCAAAATCCTGCAGTACTGCTAGGCTTACTGTCCTGAATCCATCGAAATCCCCCAACTTTTTCAATATGGAGGTATCCTGATTCCGCTGAAATCCTCCAAAACAGGGGTGTGGATTTTGATGGATTCACATACATGTACCGTAGGTACATTAGGGTTAAGGGCCTTTTCTCAGTATTTTTCTTTTTTGACATATCGACAAATATACCAGTACTAACTTTAAACAGCTCTATAACTTCTCAATGAAAATAATTGAATATTTCATTAAATCAGCACCAAAAACAAATTTGCAAATTAAATTTTTTTTTCCAACTATCCAAGCATGTTTGGCAATCCTGTGTCTGGTATCTTTTTCCACGAACTTCCATTTCGTCGTTATTGTGTTGGTCTTGTAAAATGTGTCCCGGTCCACTAAATTTTAAAAGGAACTGGCCCTGATTTTTCATGAAATTCGGCCCCTCTATTAAATAATGCGTGCATGTTATGAACCGGTACATGCAATGAATTATTGATGTCCACACTTACCTACGGTGCTAAATTTGCTGGGGGTTGATTTATCGGGCTGGAAGTTGTCATCGCTGGTAACTAGTCGTGGAAGCAAAGATGGTTCACATTCCAGAGAGGCCGAGTTCAGACATAACACTCTGTGGTTTTTCCGGGCATGGCACGGAGGCCGCTGCATCATCAAAGCCTACCCCAGCCTGCGGAGAATCCGGAGAACCAAAAATAAATAACAACTCTCATCGATTCTCATACCAAATTCGAAAGGAAGAAATTGGGGAAAGCATTTTTGTGTGGAACGCCAAAGCCGCCTTCTCTTGTTCACTTTGATTCCATTTGCCAATTTTATCATTTTATTCATCAATTCCATTATTTCATTTGGCAATTTCATCATTTTATTCATCAATTCCATTATTTCATTCGGCAATTTCATCATTTTATTTATAAATCAATTCCATTATTTCATTTGGCAATTTCATCAATCATCATTTCATTCGGCATTTTCATTGGAATGGAACGATAAAATTGCCAAATGAAATGATGAAATTGCGGAATGGAATGAAAGTGAACCATAGAAGGCGGCTTTGGCATTCCATGGTTTTGTCTGTCATTGGTCATGTTCATGTATGTATGCGAGGTGTTCTGGCAAAATGAGACGGAAATAGGCACAGGCCTTATTGGAAAAAAATGCAAAAACCAAACAGGGGCGATTCTTTTTTTCGATTTTCAGATGTATTGATATTTGTACCGGTAATCTTTGATATGTCTACTACACATATTTTTAAATAAATAGTTTAAAAATCATTGAATAAAAGTGGTTTTAATGGAAAACAATTCACATTTTACATTTTCACAAATACAAAACTGGAAAATATTAACGTTTTTCTACATATAGGGCCTATGTACTTGTATCAGTATTTTACTTTTTTTGACATAATGTCGATAAATGCCAACTTTAAACAGTCATACTGGTACGGTAGCTTGTCAACGGAATGTCCGATTGAAGTGCAACAAACAGTATTGTAAGGAGATTTTCATTCTCTTTCCAAATACTTGCAAACCCGCATTTTGACCTTTGCCCAAATCTGTCTCATTTTCTCAGAATTGCCTCCCACATGTGCTGAATCAGTGTTGCATCAGTGCAATTTCTCCACGTTAATTAGGCTTGTGTGGTATAGGATTTTGAGGGTCTACGGTGGTTTACTCTCACAAATATTGCAGTATACATCCGTTATTGCCCGGTACTTTTCTGTTATGTATGTCATCAAAATATAATTTAAGACACAGTGCAATCAGGGAAACTGCAAATACGGTATGCAACATGGGTAGAACTTCAAAGGCCTTGCACAGTTACTAGTATTTGTAACCACAATTTGTACTTAAATCTAGATCATGTGACTTCAAGGAATTTAGACAATTATCTGGCCAATCTATTTCTGTCACTTTTTTTAAGGGCTTTTGCACACATACATGTAACCACATTTACGGTACAAGGATACATCGTGGTAATCAAATTCTTCACCGAGGTTGTTTGTATTTCATTAAATTAACAACATTCGGTATCACTCGGTATCAAACAAATATTTGTCCGGCACTGTATATACATGTAAAGTATTTTTGAAATACGGTCCAAACCATAACACTGCAAAAAAAAAAGTAAAAAAAAAAAATCACCAATTTAAGATTTATGGGACTGCATAATTTATTATCACCATCATTACATGATTCCTTTTTTCCCAGCGACGCATACTGCACATTCCTGTGTACATACATGTACAAACAAATCCTCCACATGTACATGTACAGTGCATGCCACTGTTGAACATGTACATGTTGTATAAGCGGACATTACATGTACATGTACACAATGTACTTTGCATAATGTGTAATGTATTATGGTACATGTATAAACTGTGCCTACACGTACGTGTACTATGCACAGTCATGCCAGGTAAAAAGTCCTCACTGTTTTCACTATTTAATTCAATTGCTGCATTAGACAAGGACTTATACAGCATCTGAGTGGCCATGGACTGACCATGGCCCAAGCCATGACTGACCAGCAAAAATTGTTCTGACCATCACTTAAGTGTTGAGGATGCACTTGCATTTCTTTCCTTGATAAGGGGAAATTGACAAGAACATTTTATGAAAACACAAAGATATTCCTTACGGCATGCAGCATTATTTTAATGTCTTGTTTTTTTCATCTGGCTTTAAACATTAGGGCATTTTCAATTACAAATTTAAAATTATTCACTGAAGCAGACTGGAATTAATTAGGAATTAACTAGTGCTTTCATTTCTCTTCGCTGCAGTTCCAAAAATTAAGACTTTACCTCACTTTCAAGTCAATATGGCCGACTCGTGAATAAGGCCCATTATATGTACATGTATACATACATCAACACATACAACAGGATCTTGAGGTCTTGGTGAATGCATGGACCTCCGATTCCAGGCCTACATGTACATGTAATTGGCCTCAAGAATACCAGGCCTTAGTGTCATCGATATCATCCCATCAATATCAGTCCTTAAGACCTTTAACCAAATGTAATTAGTTGTTCATCATGGCCAAGGTTATGAAAAAACAGCCAGACACACTCTCATAAACACCCAGTCGTGTTTCACTATACGCCTGAGGACAACCTATTGTGTTTCCCTTTGTCCCTCTAATATAACACTTTCCCAAGACATAACCGTACGATCGAGGACCGGTTTTAACAATAGGCACCGTCGTCTGAAGATCAAAGGCCCCTTTGTGCTCCTTTTGTTGTCTGTCCTCGAGTGTAATACAATACAAGAGCACACATACACATGTACGTGACCACTACCTGTACATGTAGGTTCATGTGAAATCTTGATAAGTCAAACCTCAATGGAATGACAGGTTCAAAATTTGACTGAAGTAGAGTCAGCAACTTTGGTAACTTTCTTGTCGACACTTTGGTCCCATTTTTGTTACAGGGTAAAGTCCCGGCCTGGACAGTTATGTAATGCAATTGCAAAACACTCCAGCGACCCATAGCCATCGCTGCATGCAAATTTAAACCGGCGTGCTTTGTTTGCAAGTTTTGACCAGTGAGGAAAGCAGCTGCAGCTGGCGTGTGTAAAACTTAATTGTCAAGTTTCGAATATTCGGTCAAGTGCAGTTTCAATAACCAAATCCTCGTTTCAATAAGACGAGGTCGTAACACGATTCTGCAACAAAGTCATATCTTGCGCGAATACGCTCTGTGCAACAACGTCGTATCTTGCATATCTCGACTTTCAGTTTCAAATAATCAAATCGTCATTTCAGTGCAACAAGGTCGTAACTCGATTCTGCAACAAAGTCGTATCTCGCGCGAATACGTTCTGTGCAACAACATCGTATCTCACGTATCTTGACGTCCATTGACTTTGTGTGTGCATCTGGATATTTTAAGCGAGATACGACTTTTTGACATTCTACAACTCGCGTTACACGTACATGACGGCATTGCTATTTTAGGAGATAAAACCTTGTTGCACGGACACGACGAAATACTACATTACTCGAAAATGGACAACCCTATTGTTTGCCCATTGACCAACTCAACTTTAAAGGTCCAATCAAATGCAGAAGCACACAAATAAAACAGACACAAGAATCTGCATAATTTAAAAAGGCCTGAATGTACATCTGTAACTTTACTTACTGGATAGCTAAATTCTTGCGTACAATACCCCGATGATCTGCCTGACTACTACCTGTATGAACGGCTGCCCCAATGACCTGTACTATGAGCGGCTGCCTGCCACTAACACGTACCAGTAAGTTGAGGAAAGGGTGAGCGTGCTGTTCTGTCACACCTGATCCTTAAACATACGAAGGTCAAAATGTTGACTCCCTTTTCCAGTGAACTTCCCCAAATCAAAATTCCAGTAATCCAGTTACACTTGTGGCTAAAACAGGTGTATGTTAGAATTGATCTTCCTGTGTGGCGTACCGGTGTACTGGTAGACAGTGTGTTCATATTAAATGGCCTGATGTCATTTTTCCAGTTAAAGGCAATACACAACATTTGCAAACATCGGAAAACACAACTATAAAATTATTATGAAATACCCTACTTGACTGTAAGTGACTATTACATGTAGTCTCAACCATCCTGTGAAATCATGGCACCTGGTGTGCTGTCATTGTCAAGAAAAGTAGAATTATTGTATCAATTTCCAACGATGGTCGGCTGACCATCGTTGGAAATTGATACAATAATTCCACTTTATTTGCTTACAATACTGTTTTTCTAATACTACCCCAAATTTTTCTAATACTACCCCAAATTAACCAAATTTAGTCTACATTTTGTTTTCAATCGGCTACACATCCTTGAACGGTTGCAAGCCAGCTAGTATTGTCCCTGACCTGACAATTCCCTGGCGTCTATAATTAAATTGCTTTTATTTCGTCTGAAGTAGGGTCAAGGAACCAGATCACATGAACAGCATCTTTTTCTTGGTTTTCCAACATCTACGAACACAAAACTTTAAACAGGTCATTGTAATATTTGCTATAAAATAGATACTATAACCCCCAAATCCATCCATATCTGAAAATCACAGCAAAAGCACATGTACGGTACCTTTAATTGTCTTTCCATGAAGTTACGGTAGGTATACATGTATTTATAGAACTTGAACGTTTCTTATGTTTGCCACATCTGTAGATGGGGTGCATGGATACCGGTATGTACATCTATAGTCAGCGATCCTTTTTAAGTGGTTCCTCTACATGTAGTTGTTTTATAATGTGTCATCAGTAGGTGTTCTTCATTAATATATTGCAAAAGAAAAGAAGAAAAGTGGAGACAAACGTACATTGTACATGTGCGAACATCATGGATACCAAATTTAAATTGTTTCTTAGAATAAGCACTTTACTTTCAATTTCCTCCCAAACAGCTACTGGTACATGTGAACAAATACTGGCTAAGCAAGTACCGGTACATTTTCTGTACTCTGCAATCTTTAGCACTTACAGTTGTAGCTCTGTGAAACTTGAAACTGTAGTCATTAAAATTTGAGCGTTTTGATGAAATATAAAATGTAACTTATTGATAGCTCTAAACACAGCGTGAACCTGTCAAAAATTAATGAAGTCAAACTGAGGATGGTTAAATATTTAAGAACTGAACTGTATTTTGTAGTTTCAGCTATTTTGAGAAGCAAAACA